TAAACTACTAAATTAAGATGTTACTGTGTAGCATGTCGACTCAATGAGATACTACGACTTTGCAAATGAGCCACATTATACCATTCGTTCATTCACTCTAAACGGCTGGCGATCGGTTGATTTGTGAATCGTGGTTAAAATTTTCGTTGTGAACAGTAATTTTTTGACCGGCTCTTTAAACATTGTTTAGGAATTAACCGGGTGATTAATTGAACGGAGGTTAAACAACAGTTGATGAACTTGGGCCTAAAAACGCTGTTCGCCACATCCGCCATGATTTGGACGTCTCTTGTGGTAAACAACTAAATGTCATTCGCGTGTTACTGTAGGTGGATTTTTTCGTCTGACTAAATTTATCTTAAAACACTTTTAACTTTAGGAAAGAAAAAATCAGTTTTTTGACAAAACTAATTATGGAACTAATTGTGAAAGCAGAAAGCACAAATCTGCCAAGAATTGACGCATTGATGGTTGGTGAATTTGTTGCACTAAACCCCGATTTCTGCTCTGCGGAGCAGAGAAACGACAAGGCATCTATGTAAGTACAGTGCATTTAGTATTACTCTGGTATCGATTCTGGCATGATTCTCTAAACCTAAACTTTTTGACAACAGTGTAACCTTGTCATTCTCTACATAGAATGAAAGGGAGAGACTGATGTTGAATTTAGTTTTAAGTTTAGAGACTCATGCCAGAATTGACACCAATGTAGTAATAAACATAAAACTGATACAACATATGAATAAGTGTAATAAAGTTGCGTAGGTTAATTTCTTTCGGCACTTTAATCCACAACTTTCCTGGAGTCTTCAAGGATGTGTTTTTATATTCTCGTATAATACAGTAATGATAATTACTTTATTTTTCGTGGTATTTATTAGAAATCAAGTTTTTTTTTATTATAAACTCAGTTAAAAGTAATTTTCTACGTGTTTACGAGTTTTTGTTTACCACAGTTCACGTCATAGCATAGATAATCTGTAGACTAAAATGGCCGACAGCGTTTTTGTATGTCCATGAAAAATCTATTTTAAAATTAAAGATTTGTAGCTTTCTAGGTTAAAAAAAAATACAATACATTTTTTTTCGGTCTAATAGAACATTAATTTACCATTTAAAACCTTTTTCCAAAAAGGGTCAACTAGCCTATTCATGATTTTTCAGCTTCTCTGTAGTTAATCCGCGAGTTGCGCAGTCGGCTGGATTTTCGTCGCTTTTAACGTAGCGCCATTGGTGGGATGGTATAGATAACTTTGTTTCTTTGACACGATTCTCCACGAATGTGTTCCATCGAGCTGGATCTCCGTGTAACCACCCTAGCATGGCTGTAGAATCCGTCCAGGCGTACACATGTATATTGTAATCTGGTAAACAATTTAAAATTTTGGTCATCAAATCAGATAAAAGTTTTGCGCTCATCAACTCTAATCTAGGAATTGATACTTCTTTACTAACCGGAACTTCTTTGCGGCAACTGGTGTTATGGTGACGTCATCGCCATTAATAACTTTACAATATATTACTGCACCGTATGTTTTTTTGGACGCATCACAAAATCCGTGAAGATGTACAATTTGGTTTTCTTTTATTCCCAACCACCGGTTCACCTCAATAGTATTTATATTATATAAATAGTTTTTTAATTTACTCCATTCGTTATTAAAATTTATATCGTCTGGTAATGAATCATCCCAATCTAAATCGCTTAACCATACTCTTAGAAAAAGTATTTTCAGATTGGTGCTCAATGGTGTAAGCCACCGCAAAGGGTCAAAAAGCTTGGAAATATCCGAGAGCAATGATCTTTTGGTAGGTGTTGATGGTGAGGTTGTATTTATTTTTGACTCAAAAGTATAATACTTTTGGTTAGATGAAAAATTTAGATGCATCTGTTGGCTATGGTTATTTATGGTTACTTTTTGACTATTTGGTTCTTGGGTTCTTGTTTACGTTTTGAGGCCTCCAATGTCGTAAAGCTCTCTAAATAATCAAAAAATTCTTGGAGGTTAGGCAACTCTCTTGGTTTTTTCACATATTCGATATATTCAGAAAATGATTCACTATCGAGTTTTTGGGCTAACAAATGTACTAACAGCGGATCCCAACTGGTTATGTCTAATCCTAAATTTTGGATCGCATGCAAACATTCTTTTGATACATCATGCAATTTTTTATCATATTTAAGGATTGTTGTTGAATATTCGGAAGGCCTAATAAAGTGTTGAGATGCGATGTAAATATAAGCCGTTTGTTCACGTAACGATGGTTTCGTAATTCCTAACACACTTCGTAATTATCCGACCTTATTTGAAGATGGTCAATGAGGCGCTCAGGTTCCCCGGTGACTTCAATTTTTAAAAACTGCATTATCTGAGCGTTACTCAATAACGGATTTTTATGTAAGGTTTCATTAAACAAATCTTTAAATGAGATCCGAGATGAGAGAAATGGTGATAGTTTCTGCTAAATGTCGGAATATCCATTTGCGGTATCGACTTTTCCCGATGCGACACAGACCACATCTTGGTATTTATGGTTTTCTTCAAATCATTAAATATTTTTTCGTACCTGGTAAATTACGCCTGGTAGATAGATTCATCTCCGTCAGCCTCACCTTCTATCTCCCAATGCAAGCTGTCGACCGTACTCCATCGAGTCAAAAGTGTTCTCAGAGCATCCTCAAATTCCCAAAGATTTTGCAAGTTTTCTATATCTATTAAGCTTACCGTACGCATAAATGCTTTGAAATTAATATTTTCCTTCTTGATCATTTCGTCCAACTTAGTGTTTCCACTAGTCCTTTGAGCTTGGTCCGGTTAGCGGTAATCCGGCGCGTGGTCTGGTTGGCGGTAACCCGGCGCTTGGCCCGCTTGACGGTAACCCAACGTTGTGTCCGGTTGCCGGTAACCCGGCGTTTGGTCCGGTTGACGGTAACCCGTCGCTTGTTCTGGTTGACGGTAACTCGCCGTGGGTGTACCATCTAGCTGGATCTGCTCGTCTGATTTACCTGGTTGCTGCTGAGGAGTTAAATGCCCTAAAATTCCGCTAATAATTTTTTTAATGGTCAAATAAAGCTCTTCCGCTGTATCGAAACAATGTTGCACAAAATACACATGGTCAAATTCCGCAAGTTCGCACATATTTGTATGGTTTTTGTGGTATTCACTCTAATAATTCTCGAGGAAATCCAACTTCCGTTTGCAATACTCCCTGGTTTTCCTATTGTTCACATTGGTTGTAAAATAACTAGTAAAAATATAAATAAAATGGTAAGATCTGACCTTATTTACACCTTACTCTGCTTACATAAGATTTGGTTTAAAGTCACTGCAGTCCTATGGTTAACTGTTCAAAATTTTTTGTCACTGTATTTAATAGTCACTGGTTACTGGTTAAGTCGACAGGCACACCTTCCGGAAAATATTTAGCAGCTTTCAATGCCTCCTTATGAAAGGTTTCAATGTGGTTTTTGCACTGCTCGTGAATATCTTTGAACTTTCAAAAGAGCCTTATAGTAAATAATCCCAATTTGCCTCTAAATGAATTTGGATTTGGTGGAAACTCCTTCTTAGCGCCGGGAATATACCAACCATGGAGAGTATGTTCTAACCAAGAATAATTAAATATCTCTGTTTTGCATCTTCCGCAAAGTTATAGGTCACGGAAGGAGACCAACAGTTATCAATCAATTCCTTCTTCTTTTCGGGTGATAGCATGTGTGCCCGTCCAACATATCGTTATCATTTTCATTGTAGTCATCCATCAATGAATCTGGATTCGGCGCCAGATAGCTGGAAGAACTTGGTCTAGGTAGTTCCTGCGGCCAAATATAAATGTGTATAAATGTCATTGTTTAATGTGTACCTACTGATTTTTAGTTCTTGTTACGTACTTTGTGCCGCTGCTGTTCAAGTTTCCATACAAAATTTGACATTGACATTTTGGTTTGCAAACTATTCGAATTCGATAATGGTTCGTGCTAGGGTCTAGTAACTGCTACCAAATCCCAGAGTCAATTGAACAAGCGCCATCTAACGTCGAGTAGCAATACTAGGTTTTACAAGGATTTTAGTCGATTTATTCGATTCTTATGAACACTTACAGATGGTGTTGTCCACAAAAGCAATTAAAATTGTTTGTTCGTAACAATAATTTCTACTTTATTTAGGTATGCCGCATACAAATTATACAAAACTAACGTCAATGCTGGTAAACGGCTGTCGTACCTACCTACATATTTTTACACTGTTTAATAGCCTTGCGTTTTGGCAAATCTGATATAGTCGTGATGAAAATGGCGGCGATTTTAAATACGGAAGTCAAAATCTATTCTGCATATTTCAGTGCTTTCCAAATATACATAAAACCTTGTGAATTTATTTACGTTTTGTCGTGCGATGCGGAATTTATTAGTAAGGAAGTCAATTTGCTCGCACTTTGGTCGCTTTTCGGCTAGGGGGGGGGGGGGGGGGAACTGCCCCCCTTGGCGACACCCTTCATCATTAGCCTATTAATGTCCCCACTGCTGGAAGTTTTGGGCCCTGACTCACCACGCGGGCCCAGTGCGGATTGGTGGGTGCTAACGACTGCAGATGCAGCCGGGACCAACGGCTTAACGTGCCTTCCGAAGCACGGAGGAGCTCGAGATAATAAATTTTTGGTCACCCATCCAATGACCGACCACTGCGAAAGTTGCTTAACTTCAACGATCGCAGCCGAACGCGCTAACCACTTGCGCCATCGAGCTCCTCTCTCCTTTTTTTGTAATAATTGTTTGCCCTACCTAGAGCCACGCCCACCCTTTTCATTGGGTTGTGTAAAGCCCGCATTAGGCTGATTCTCGTCTGTCTTTAGACATAGATGTCGATTCTGGTGATAATCATGATTCTCTAAAGCTAAACTTAAATTTGACAACAGTGTATCTTTGTCATTCTCTATACAGAATGTTGTTAAATTTAGTTTTAAGTTTAGAGAATCCTGCCAGAATCGACACCATAATCTTAGTAATCTGTGTCTGTGATGGTCTAAGGTCTGTGACTATGGTTTATGGTATCGCTGGCCGGCCGGCAAACGGCAAATAGAATTCAATTTGAAAACCGCCATAAACAGATAACACAAAGCCTCTTCGTTTTGCTACTACTTTAATTTATTGTTAATACAAATATAAAGGTTTGTTCAGTTTTCACGAAACTAGCAAAAATACTTTTTTTGTTAACTTTAGTTTGTTGATTTCGTTCTGTGTTTAGTGGTTTCGGTAAACAACCAGGTAAGGAAAATAAATTTCGTTAAATTACAGTGTTTTTCGGTTTGGACGTTTCGTTCTATATGAAAAATTCTTAAATAAGTTCAAAAGTATATAATCTTAAATAGGCCTCTAGTTGAATTTGAAGTAGGCTTATATAGTTACTAATGCAAAATCAATCAAACTACACTTTGATAAGAAAGATAAACGATTATTATGGCAAGATAGGCACTGATACCTGATTTGGGGAAGGACCCTTAATTTGGGGGGATTTTAAAGCGATGGGGGGAAATACGGGAGGGAAAATGTCTCAGTTGGAGTGAATTAGAGGATATTTATTTTCAATCACTTAATTTTTATTAGAAATAAAAACAGACTTCTTTAAAACAAACCCACGAAATAAGGAATCTTATTGATTGCTTAAATCTTATTTAATGGAATGTTTAATATTTGTGTTAAAACTCAGAATTACTACTTCACGTTATTTTGACTTTTTATATATACACTCGCTTAAATAATACAATATATTGGATTATTAAAATGGGTTTTTTTTTAATCTTAAACTTGCATACCTAAAATCCCTTGTAATGTAAAGCTCTAGTCAAAGGGATATAGTTATAGTTTATTTGTGTATCTAGTAAGTATATCTTTGGAATTAATAAAAGAATGAAATCCACAGCTAAAAAATGTCCTTAACTGATGGTAGGGGGATAAGCTATGGACGATTCAAAAGAGTTGTATTTTGCATCCAATTTGAATAAAAATATTCTGACTTTTCTGCCTATAAATAGACAATCATTAATATCTAGTAGGATTTTTTATATTGCCTTAGTTTAACTTTCATTTGTTAATAGGAAACTTTCTATATGGAACATAACCTATCTGATGGAACTAGACCAGTAGGTTGGGTTAGCAATACCAGTCTTCTTTTACAGTTGGGGATTTGTTGTAATTTCTCTTATATTGCTAAATCCCACAGTCATTCCTGCAAGAGATTAAGAATCAAACAAAGAAGGGTTTGTAAATTATTGTGATTGTTTATATATTATTAACGAGGGTAGGCCTCGCTTTGCTTCGGTGTAGACCTGTTGTGTAGACTATAGTGTTTGTTCTCGGGCTTGTATTATACAGAATGACTTTCTTTTTATAATTATAAACATTTCATGAAAATGTATAGAGAGAGAGAGACAAACTTGTTAGTGATCCATGGATTCACAGTGTGGGTGTCGGGTTCATCGTGTGGGAAAGAGAGAAACTGAGCAGTTCCCGGGACCTTCAACCCAAGTGTAGGTTTAAGGAGGCCCCCTTTGAGATGTGCATGCCGGCCTGGATGACAAACACCAATATCCTCTAGTACTTTATAGTGCTTTTTCATTAAAATAGTCCAGTCAGGTGCAGTACCTAGGTTCTAGTGGTGATAGTGAAAACTTAGTTGCGTAGTTTAGGATCCGTTGGTATCGAACGTACAATTGCTCTGCTATTAGAAAAAGTTTGTCCCCCTCACCATCAGACCATGCCCTTATCATTAAATGCATCCGCGTGTCTGTGACGCAGTGGTGTGTACACATCCATCACATATCACTCATAATATTGGTGTACATGATTTTTTGCCATGAATTCAATTGTACATTTTTGGTATATATGTATAAATATTAATGGAAAAAAAAATATAAGTCTATTAACATCGAATACACATTTAAAATATTTGCCTCATTTTTTTAAGTCACATTTCGATCCTTCGTGTGGTTGCCACACGAAAATTAATTATTTTATGCATCGTAATAGGCGTGATAATCACGGGTAGGGATGGGTTTCTGCCCAGGCATTTTGGGCATATTCCGTATTTGCCTAATAAATGTCCATTTCTGTCCAATAAATGTGTGTGTGGGGGGGGGGGGGGGGGGGGTGTGCGCGTGTGTGTGTGTGTTGTTTATGAACTTAACATTCAGTCAGCCGTACGACGCCCACTGCTGATCATAGGCCTCCCCCAAGGATCTCCACACCGATCGGTCCTGCGCCATCGGCTTCCCGTGACGTTCACAAGATCGTCGGTCCACCTTGTAGGGGGTCTGCCCACTGAGCGTCGTCTGGTGCGTGGTCGCCATTCCAGAACCTTTCCGCCCCAACGGCCATCGGTTCTTCTTGCTACGTGTCCCGCCCACGGCCACTTCAGCATAGCAATCGTTCGAGCGATATCGGTTACTTTGGTTCTCCTACGGATTTCCTCATTTCTGATTCTATCGCGTAGGGAAACACCGAGCATCGCTCTCTCCATTGCTCGCTGTGTGACCTTGAGTTTTCTTAGGAGACTCGCTGTAAAGGAGACTACGTCCCACTTCCGTAGGTCATCACTGGCAATACACACTGGCCATAGACTTTTGTCTTGAGACACTAAGGTAATTCGGACGCGAAGACTTTCCGTAGCTTCCCGGACGCTGCCTATCCGAGCTGAAAGTTGGACTTACCTAACTGGACTGTCTGTCCTAGGTTAACGTAACAGTCGGCAACTTCGAATGTAGTGTTTCCAATTTTAGCTGAAGCGGGTACTACATAGGCATTCGACATAATTTCGTCATATCCATGTTCATCTTAAGACCCACTTTTTGGGAAGCTCTACTAAGATCTTCGAGCATCGTGTTAAGATCTTCCAAGGTTGCAGCCATAAGAACTACATCGTCGGCGAAACGAAGGTGCGAAAGGTACTCGCCATTTATGTTAATGCCTCGTCCTTTCCAATCCAGAAGCAAGAAAATATCCTCCAATGCTGCTGTGAACAGTTTCGGAGTTATCTCATCTCCCTGTCTCACGTCTCGCTGCAGTTGGATAGGATTAGAGCGCTGGTTCTGTAATCGGACTGACATAGTGGCGTAAGGTACCTTAATACCTCAACATACCTGTAGTCTACTTGGCACCTTTGAAGAGACTGTAACACCGCCCAGGTCTCAATCGAAAGCTTTCTCATAGTCCACGAACGCCAAGCAAAATGGCAGATTATACTCTTCGGTCTTCTGTATAACCTGCCGCAGCGTATGAATGTGGTCTATGGTACTGAAGCCTTTTCGGAAACCGGCTTGTTCAGGAGGTTGAAAACTTAATAATATAATATTTAAAATAGGGAAAGATTTGACTTTTGACATTCAAATCTACAATTAAGTAATTATAAAAGCATAAATCAAAACTTATATTTGTTCCATCAATACTAAAAATGCGAGTGTGTTCAATGCTTACATTTGAAACGTGGGTAAGCTTTACCAAGGAAATTAGATTTAAAAATCATTTTTGTGACGGTATTTTTATCTTTTCAGTTCTTGCCCAGCGACTGGACATTTATTTGGACGTAAAAACGTTTTATCCCTATTTGCCCAGTATATGCCCTTTTGCCCATTTGGGTTTTTACCCTTGAGCCATCTCTAATCACGGGGCATAGATGACTTAAGTTGCTGTAGATCAGAAATAATTTTATTCGCGATTTTTCTTCTTTCGTCATATAAGTTTTTTAGGTCCTCCACCCTCACGGGGACAATTAAATTTTGATCGCTAGTTTCTTCACTTTGACGGGGTACCTAATTTCAATTCCACTTGGGAACCAAAGCAGCATCGACACCGAATGGTATAGCACAAAATGCCTGCCAGCAGTTTTTTTTGCAATGAGCAACAAGCGACCTAACTCCGGGCTCCGCGGGGTCCTTCTTCACCATGACAACGCGCCCGCGCACTCTGCGATCAAAACGAAGGACTTCCTGGATTCCACACCAGTCAAGAGTTTTGGGATACCCTTCTTACAGTCCTGATTTGGCCCCGTGTGACTTCTTTTTATTCCCTAAAATAAAAATCAGCTCAAAAGGATACAGTTTTCATCGCCGGAAGAAGCGCTAGCAGCGTTTGAGAAGGCCTTGGAAGGGGTGTCTGCGGAGGACTGAAAAAAAATATTTGAAAATTGGTTCAGACGCATGAAACTTCGTTTAGAGGATTAAATAAAAATATTTTTTTCATAGAAGTTAAGTTAGGTTTTTAGTTTCTCAAAACTTTCAGTGTCCCACGTATATTTACGGCTTCCGGTAAAAATTTCACGTTTAAAACATTTAATCATAATAGCTCTATCTTTTCTTTATATCTAACTAGCTGACCCGGCGAACTTCGTACCGTCCAAAAGTCGATGTATGTGGTTATATATTTATTAGGGGGTATGAGGGGTGCCGCCTAACACCCAACGGCACCCAAGTCAACCTCACCTGCCCGCGGTGTACCCTGCCGACCAACGGACGAGGCTCTGGCGCTCCCCACCAACCCGCACTGGGCCAGCGTGGTGGGAGACGGCCCAAAACCCCCCCTAAAATGATAGTACATGATAAGAGGCCCCAAGTGCCCGGCGGTGCTGGAGTCCGTGGCGGCGCTGACGGACGCCGACTCGGCGCCGGGACCAGGGGTGCGAAGAATCCCCGGGCGGCAAAAATCCCCCGTCAAACGACCTTGGCCCTGGCAACGTACAACGCACGCACACTGCGGACCGAGGAGAAGCTGCTGGAACTGGAGGAAGAATTGAGCAGGATTCGCTGGAGTATTGTAGGACTATTAGAAGTCCGAAGAGAGGGCGAGGACACGATGTTCCTTAAATCCGGCAACCTGCTCTATTTCCGGGAGGGCGAAGATCTGTCCCAGGGTGGTGTCGGGTTTGTTGTCCACAAGTCTCTCGTGAACAATGTTGTACAGATCGGTAGTGTGTCGAATAGGGTGGCGTACCTTATACTCAGAATCACCAAACGGTATTCGTTGAAGGTCATACAGGTATACGCTCCGACCTCGACGCACCCCGACGAGGAAGTGGAAGTCATGTATGAGGATATTTCTCGGGCAATGCATGCTTCCAGGACCCATTACACCGTTGTCATGGGGGACTTCAACGCAAGGCTGGGCAAACGTGGCGATGATGAGTTGAAAGTGGGGCAATTTGGAGTTGGAATCCGGAACTTCCGAGGTCAAATGCTAGCCGATTACATGGAGAAGGAGGGACTCTTAATGATGAACTCCTTCTTCAGAAAACGGCTGCATCGAAAATGGACCTGGAAAAGTCCGGATGGCGTGACAAAAAATGAGATTGACTTCATCATGTCGACTAAGACTCGGATATTCAATGATGTCTCAGTGATCAATTCGTTCAATACGGGAAGCGATCACCGAATGGTAAGAGGCACATTGAATCTAAATGTCAAAGCCGAAAGGAATCGACTGATGAAGTCCACGCTCCGTCCTGAAGCCATCCGGATCCAAAACCCCGAGCGCTTTCAACTCGAACTGCAAAATCGCTTCGATTGCCTAGAGAGCTGCGTAGACGTGGACAATTATAATGACAGGTTTGTTGAAGCTGTCCTTACGGTGGGCTCGAAGTTCTGCAAGCCCATCCGTACCAAAAAACGCAGCAAGATCTCGGAGCCGACTCTCAAGCTCATGGAGAAAAGGCGTGAGATGGGTCTGCAGTCCTCTGAAGATGCACGTCGGCAGCTCAATAGGCAGATTTCGAAGTCTCTGACTCGCGACATACGCCGCTTTAATACTGATCGTATTAAAGAGGCCATCGAGCGGAACAAAGGCTCGAAAGTGTTCGCAAGAAATCTGTCTCTTGGACAGAGTTTGCTGACGAAGCTGAAGACAGAGGACGGCAGAATCATTTCGTCGCAACCTGAGCTTATGGCTGAGATCGAAAGCTTCTACGGACAGCTATACGCGACATCACGAGTACCTGTCACAAAGGCGACCGACCCAAGAGCCAAATTAACCCGACACTACACCGAAGATATCCCGGACGTCAGCCTGTACGAGATTAGTGTAGCTCTGAAACAGCTCAAAAACAATAAGGCGCCGGGTGATGACGGAGTTACAGCCGAGCTTCTGAAAGCAGGTGGACGACCAGTCTTGAAATCTCTTCAGAAGCTATTTAACTCTGTCATACTCGAGGGCAGAACGCCTAGCGCATGGCATAGGGGAGTGGTGGCGCTTTTCTTCAAGAAGGGAGACAGGGCCCAATTGAAGAATTACAGACCCATCACGCTCCTGAGTCATGTATACAAGCTGTTTTCGAGAGTCCTCACGAATCGTCTCGCGCGCAGGTTTGACGACTTCCAGCCTCCCGAACAAGCCGGATTCCGAAAAGGGTTTAGTACCGTAGACCACATCCATACGCTGCGGCAGGTTATACAGAAGACCGAAGAGTATAACCTGCCATTATGCTTGGCGTTTGTGGACTACGAGAAAGCCTTCGATTCGATCGAGACATGGGCCGTGCTTCGGTCACTCCAAAGGTGCCAAATAGACTATCGATACATCGAAGTGTTGCAGTCGTTGTATGAAAACGCCACTATGTCAGTTCGACTCCAGGACCAAAACACGAAGCCAATCCAGCTGCAGCGTGGTGTAAGACAGGGTGACGTTATATCACCGAAACTGTTTACAGCTGCGCTGGAAGACGTTTTCAAACTTTTGGACTGGAGCGGACTTGGCATCAACATAAACGGCGAGTACATGACGCACCTTCGATTTGCAGATGATATCGTAGTCATGGCTGAGACCATGGATGACCTTGGCACAATGCTCGGCGACCTCAGTAGGGTGTCCCAACAAGTGGGTCTCAAAATGAACATGGACAAGACGAAAATCATGTCGAATTCCAATGTCGTACCCACTCCAGTGACTGTTGGGAGCTCTACACTGGAAGCTGTTGACCAGTACGTATACCTGGGACAAATAGTCCAACTGGGTAAGTCCAACTTCCAGAAAGAGGTTAATCGACGAATCCAACTCGGCTGGGCAGCGTTCGGGAAGCTACGTAGCATCTTCTCGGAACATCTACCGCAGTGCCTCAAGACGAAAGTCTTCAATTCGTGCGTGTTGCCAGTGATGACATACGGAACCGAGACGTGGCCGCTTACAATGGGTCTTGTAAGAAGGCTCAAAGTCACCCAAAGGGCAATGGAGAGGGCTATGCTCGGAGTTTCTCTGCGTGATCGAATCAGAAATGAGGAGATACGCAAGAGAACTAAAGTCACCGACATAGCCCACAGAATTGCAAACCTTAAGTGGCAATGGGCAGGGCACATTGCTCGCAGGACCGATGGCCGCTGGGGCGGAAAGGTCCTCGAGTGGCGACCGCGTACCGGGAAACGCAGTGTTGGCAGGCCCCCCACAAGGTGGACCGACGATCTGGTAAAGGTCGCGGGAAGCCGCTGGATGCGGGCAGCATGGGACCGATCGTTGTGGAAATCCATGGGGGAGGCCTATGTCCAACAGTGGACGTCTTTCGGCTGATGATGATGATGATGATGATGATATATTTATTAAATTAATGATTTTGCAGCCGCAATAAAACAAGTCAAAAAAAATGTTTATAAGGATAATATACCTTTAAAGAGAAAATGAAATTTCAATAACTTATTCTTTAATAGTGTATCAGCGAAACTTAAAACACACTTTAACCATTTGTTTTGAAAATAAATCTTCGGGAGCATTTGCAAGCTCCTGTAACGCCATACAAAATATCCGACTGCGCGGGACATATTCGATTATTTTGCCAAAAACGATGCGTTTCGTTTCACGCGGAGTTGTTTGATTTTTAAATGGCGTTTTACACCAATACAGTTGGGAATCATGGAGTTATTATTATTTCAAAAAATTGAGCAAAAAATCTAGTTTCTGCCGGTATCAAAATGTAATTAATTCATGAAATACATGAAAAGTGGAGTTATTAGGTTTGCAAATTAAGGTATCGATTTGTGGTATTTTAAAGTGACGTTTGTGGTTTTTTAATGAAATGAAATGTTTTTTTTTTAAGTTTATATATAATGAGCTAACAAATGACACCAATATTATTGGGGGTACATGCGTGTGTTAGGAGTTAATATCGCTTAAAATTTATTTTCGCGCAGGTGCGATTTTTTTTACGCCGAGTGTAGTCGGGATGGCCTGATCACAGATAAAACTGATAATAATAAGTTAGACTTCCAATCACGCAGTAGGCAGGAGGTAGACCGATACATTATTCATTACTAATTAAAGTTATATTAGTATTAACTAATATAACTTTAATCAGCTCGTGTTTTGTTTACGCAATTCTTGGTGTTTTCGTTAGTTTTCAGACAAAACTACAGTGTAAACTAGGCTTCTTGTTAACGGTCGTTGTTTTACCGAACCTCAGGTCTGTGCAATATACTTGCATATAATTAGCAAATCAAGATTTGAATTACTGGTCTTTTTTATCGATTTGTTGCTAGACATAGACAATCATTATCCTACTGACCCGATGTCACGCTCCGCTCTACGTTGTCTAACATTCTGGTTCTGATTCAATATAAGACACAGATACCTAGTTTTTTATTTTAATTATATTATTTAAGTTCTTCCCTCTATACAGCAACTAGAATAATGACATCTAAATTCAACAAAAACGGTGTATTCACTGGGCCTGTAGATTCATATTGCCTCATATGCGAAACTTACTTCAAAGATGCTAATGACACCAGTGCACATATTGAAAAGCCAGTACATCTAAAGAATTTGGAGGCTACGCCGTACTATGATAAATATAAGGACGAACACATTAGAAAGGTAAATATCATGTTATTTTTATTGGCGATTTTCTAAGTGCACGTCCACACGCAGCGAAACTTCCGTCGCGCAAGAGCGCAAGGTGGGCTGTGTGTGGCCGCACCCGCGCAACTTTCGCCCGATAACTGCCTGCCCCCCCTTGGCGACGCCCTTAACAATAGTAAAAATCGTTCAAAAGTTAACGATAAGAAATAATTCTGAACTCGTTTGAAGGACAACAGAATGTTTATAACTCGAAAGATACTGTGAAAAACACTGACGACCCTCCTGGTCTGCCATACCACAGACTTTTACTGCGTGTGGGTACTCCTGTTATTATTTTTTATTTGCTACATCAGTAGGTTGCAAGTCAAAGCTTTGCACCGGAACGTAATAGAAGCCACAATTTTGACCGGAACTGCTCAGGGAGAAACAGTGTTTGTACCACGTAATCCATTAAATACCAAGTGATCTCCAATTTCCCCTGAAGGTCTGTTTCGCCATGACTACAAATAAGTTGCAGGGGCAAAACTCAAATTCGCCGGTCAATTCTCCTATTGATCAAGTTCTATGTGGCATGCTCTTTGTGCAACTAATTTGTAAAGCAGATTTGGTAAAAAATTGCTACCTGAATCTCTTAGACCCCGCGGACGAAGTCGCGGGCAAAAGCTAGTCCTGTATATAGTACTGCGTCCATTTACTTTTGGAAAGTAATAACTAGACATTTGCGCCGATGGTCATTCTTATTTGACCGGCGCACACTGGGGCGGTATATATGACAGTCGTACCCAAAACTTTAAATGGAGGTAGTTTGGTATGATTTTTATTCTGTGTGTAGGGTAGGTGTTTCTACAGCAATTAGAAACATTTAGATTAATTTCTCATTCATCTAGTCATTTACCGGATTGACACGCATAAAGAGTACTCTGTTATCAGTTAATTGCAATTCCGTGATTAGTTGAACTCAATCAAAACCCTGTCGTATTTTTATTGTTGTGTTTACATTAAAACATTGTCATGTCAAGTTTGGATCATGGTAATCTCTATTTAAAAACTACTTTAATTGAACCAATTAGTGAGTAATAGTGGGGTTAATGATAGTTTTCTGAAGACGCTGCTGATAATTAAATTTTATGGCTTAAAATTTAAAAAAGCGCTATATGCTTTTGAAAGTAAATTAATAAATAGGTACTCTGAACTGCCTGTTTACTTAGTCAGAAGTGAAAGCCCGTTGCGCTAAATCGAAATAATCGTGTTTTTTTGCTATACGTAAATCTCGGGCACTTAATATTATTTTCAGATTTGTGCCCCAAATTAGAAATAAACGAAAAATTTTGTTCGACGTGTTTCATGATAGTAATTATAAGCCATTTGATAGAATTTTTTTTTTTGATTACGTTGCGAATAAATAGACCAGGGTCGATAATTTTAAAAATGGTAGAAAGTGAAAAAAAATTATAGTAGGATGAAACCCATTGGAAAAGGTAGAGAATATAACAAAAATGAAAGGAAAAATAAATTACGGGTGATCTGAGGTCGGGAAGGGGGAGGGGTTAGTTTTTAAGGTTAAAAAACGGTTAATCTCTATTTCCGGTAAAACAGCAAGTCCTATGAAAAAAAGTTAAATGACAAAGTTGTAGGTAATAAAAAGATCTACAACTTTTGCATCGACACTTTTTTCACATAACCTCAAAATTTATGTGAAAAATTCGAAGTTTTTGGTTTTTATTTTTTGCAAAAACAATTATTGTTCTCGAAATTTAGTGAAAACTTACCTTTGTATGTCCCAAACATACAGTAATATTTTTTTTATTTAAAATATTTTGACTTAATATCGAAAAAGCGCCCTAATTTTCAATAGAAAATTCTCACGTTAAATATCTGGTTTTTTAAAAAAGTTGGTGTGTTTCTTGTTTGTTGAAATCTCTACTTTCTAATGGTATAAAAAATATACACTACTATGGTAAATGTTCTCAGAAACTGCAAATTAATAATGAAGAAAACTCGAATCCGAAATTTTTTTTTAATCATTATGTATAATTTTGAGCTATTTATTTAAATTTACACTTTAATTACTCGAAAAACGTAAGATTTAGTGTTATATTGATAAACAAAAAAATTGCTAATCGAGATATACTACTATAATTAACAACTAAATAAGTTCATAAAGATAATATTTAATAAGACATCTACAATATTTTGGGAAAGTTTTCGAATCTTCTTTAAATTATATGCGTAGTTAGCTATTTATTGCTATTTTAAGATTACTTATATACCTGAGTGACTAACTTTATTACTGAAAAAAAATTTCAGCAGTCACATTTTTTAGATGAAATCCTTTTTAAATCCTATTTTTAATACTTACAAAACTATTTTTGCATGTTGTTGTTGTTGTTTTATGGATTTGTATTTTTTTCGTTTATCAATATAACATGAAATCTTACGTTTTTCGAGTAATTAAAGTGTTAATTTAAATTAATAGCTCAAAGTTATACATAATGATTCAAAAAAAAAAACGGATAGAGTTTTTTTCTTCATTATTAATTTGCAGTTTCTGAGGACATTTTTTTTCCAAAAAATAAAAATATTAAACCAAAAACTCGGTTATTCGAATTTTTCACATAAATTTTGAGGTTATGTGAAAAAAGTGTCGATACAAACGTTGTACATCTTTTTATTACCTACAACTTTGTCATTTAACTTTTTTTCATAGGACTTGCAGTTTACCGGAAATCGAGATTAACCGTTTTTTACCCTTAAAAACTTCCTCTTCCCGACCTCAGATCGCCCGTAATTTATTTTCATTTTTGTTATATTCTGTACCTTTTCCAATGGGTTTCATCCTACTATAATTTTTTTTGGTCTCAAAAATTATCGACCCTGGGGCCCAATTCTCGCGGCGTAGATATTATATCGGCTTCGAGATAATATCGAAAGGAGGGATATCTATTGAAAATATCTACTGATGGTAAAAAATGCTATTCTCGATTTTCGATATTCCAATCGTAGATATTCTTTCACTGCCGAATGCGTTCCGTTTTTCTCGATTAAGTTAACATCATAGTCTATATAAAATAATAATAAATTAGAGCAGAATTTTACAAGCAACAAAATGATATTTTATGAATTCCATTCATATTAAATATGAGTATACATTTTTTGAGCATAAGAAATCTCAACTTTACCTAAATTGTATGCGTATATAACTTCAACGTTATGTATAATGAAACGTCAATATTATTTAAGATTCTCCCTTTTCAGGGAAGGCAAAGGGAACAATGCCCATACAGCCTAGTCTTTAGTTATATTAATCTTCTTTTTTTACATTAGAATGTCGGTGTGACGCATTCTAATGTTTCTTGGAGTGTTTGGCACGAAATTTATGGAGTTGGCTTTTTCTCTAAGCTTCTGTGAGGTAGTCAACACTACAATAAAGTTCTCGCGTCCACTTGACCGGAATAGCGTATATATTAAAGATTCCACTAATTCTTCAGTTGCGCAGACAGTTGTAACACCAAATCACACCAATTTTATTTCACAATATCCACTATGAACGAATTTTAGAATAATTAAAATAAGACGCCAACCGCACTCGCAGAAATCCCGCCAAAAACTCCGTATCGTCAATAAGAAAATGGTGTCGATTCTGGCATGATTCTCTAAACCTAAACGTAAATTTGACAACAGCGTATCCTTGCCATTCTCCATACAGAATGAAAAGGAGAGACTGATGTTAAATTTAGTTTTAAGTTTAGAGAATCGTGTCAGAATCGATACCAATGTCATTCATAACTTTATAGATTCCTAACCAAATTTTTGTTTAAACGTAATTTTTTTTATGAAGTCGGCGTCCCTCATTTCAAATTGGCCCTCTTGCTCTCACAACGGCGGCGCGTTAGCACAGCAGCAGCAATCACGTCATTTATTAAATCATTGACGAAAACATGAATCAACTCATCCATTGTTAATATAACCTGGATTCGATTCTCTAAATCTAAACTTAAACTTGACAACAGTGTTTCCTTGTCATTCTCTATACAGAATGAAAAAGAGAGACTGATGTTAAATTTAGGATTAAGTTTAGAGAATCACGCCAGAATCGACACCATTGTTTACCTACTTCTTTATTTACTAATTATTTATGAAGGCAGTTAACCATATCTTGAGGTAACAATAATTGGCAATGACACACGACAACACAATAAATAATAGGTAAAAAAAGTGGAAATAACAAGATTGACATGCCAAGATCCATAGATATTTATATATCGAAGGCTCTTTGCCAATCGATGTATGTCTACTGATCATCCGTAGATAAATATCTATTGCGACATGGAGAGAATAGGGCAAAAAGGTTTTCTTCGATAAAAGCCAGATCATTCGATATATATCGAAGGTGATATAATATCTATGCCGCGAGAATTGGGCCCCAGGTCTAAAAACAAACTGTACACCACAAAATCGCCATATTTGTCGAAAGAGTTACGTAATTTTAAAAATCAACTAAAGGCTAAATGGTTCTGACAAAATAGATACAAAGAATCGGTTTTAAATGCTGAAAAGGCCTGGCTTAACGATTACTGCAATTTTACTTGATACTCGAGCAATAAAAGCGGAAGGCCAACATTATCATTTGAAGAGAGTAGTGAAACTACCAAGCTTAGAAAGACAACACATTTACGCTCAGTGGCAGGGCCATATATCATATGCTGCTCAAATGCAATTTAGGGCAGCAGGTAAATCAACTGAAGCCAGTATCATTGCACAAGCGGCAAGTAGCTGCCAGTATGCGAAGGATTGCTTTGATATAGCTTCTACTGTAAAAGCAAAAAAATATTGCCTTGGGATGCCTTATCCTTAATTATTGAAGCACAGTTGTCAAGGAAATAATATGAATTTGTTAGACATTATGCAAGCGAAATTTTTCCCACTTATAAAAAAGTACAAGCTGAAAAACTAAAGTCCTATCCAAAAGATGTAAAAATTAATTCCACTCCAAAGTCTATTAGATCATACAGGAACACATTAACTGCAGAGTCACAAATCTGTCTTAGAGGCTCGTTCTGAACATGGTTTCGATAAATTAATATTGTATTCTAATTGGGGATTTGATTGCATCTCGAGTCATACTCAACACAAACAAAAGTTTTTGTCTGAAACATCTGATGACAAATATATGTTTTTAACATGTTTAGTACCATTACGACTTACGGGTGAAAAAAGTGGCAAATCAATTATATTGTGGTAAAACCCCAGACCTTCATCGCATAGATTTTGTAGACCCATAAGCTTCGAGTATAAAAAAGAAACTGACGAATTAGTTAAGTCCAAAAAAGAGTACATAGATAAACAAATCAAAGACTTAATTTCTACAGAAGTGAATTTAGATAGTTAAAAAATACATGATTGAACACCGTACTTTATTCGCAATGGTAGATGGCAAGTTGTGTAACTCTCTTTCGGATACAAAATCTACAATGCGATGTTACTTAAGTGATGCTACATCCAAAGAGTTTAATGACCTTGATGCGATTAAGAATAGATCTATCAAATCTGAATATGTGTCAAAAGATATCCAGGCATGTAATACGTATTACATGCCTTGATTAGAGCGTTTGAATCGCTTCTACACTTAATTATAAATTACCTGTTCTATATTCCTATCCAAAACAAATAAGGAGCTTATTGATGAAACCAAGAAGATATTCAGGCTAAACTCAAAAGTAAGTTGTCTCTTACCGTAGACAAACCAAAACCTGGTTTTGGAAATTTTAATGATGAAAACGTGGCCACGTTTTCCAAAACCAATTACAATTTTTCCAAAACTTTAAGGAGTATTACTAACATTGATGAAGAATTTAAAAGACGTATCTATATAATACTGCAAACTATTTCCAGTGGTTAACAATTAATATACAGAAGTTTTAGCAATTTTGTTTAGATACGGCTCATATGTTGCTCCATGCCCTTGGATGCCTATGACACCAACACTTCATAAATTCATAGCGTTGAAATTGTTAACCATGCATTACTACCTATAGGGAGGCTGAGTAAGGAGGCTCAAGAAGTCCAGAATAAAGAATTAGCCATATGGAGAAATTTTTTCAAGAATGACATCAAGAACTGACAACCTTACTGAAATAATTAATCGTTTGTTGATTTCTTCCGATCCGATTATAACACTTAATCGAAAATTGCCTACTACTACCTAACTAAATATGTTGAACCAAGAATTATAAACTTTAAGAGCATTCAAAAGTAGTTTTTATTAAGTTTAGTGCAAGAATATTTATTTTCTGATATAATTTCAGTTTTGGGTACGACCGTCATATATATATACCGCCCCAGCTCGTGGGCGGCGGCGTCAGGCGTCCATGCGGCGCGGCGCGGCGGCATAATCGGCTTGGATGGTCAAAATAAGTTGAAAAGGCGTCTCAATCACTTTAAACTTTATATTTGTTTATCACAATCAACTCTATAAGGCACATTTATTAGAGTTAAAATAAATAATATTTTAAATAATGACAATAATTCTTTGTCTATCTTTGAAATACGATTATAAATTCAAAATATCAATAACAAAAAAACTGGCTACAAGCAAACTAGTACAAAGAAGAAAGAAAGGAATCAAATTTTATGAGCAAGATACAAGTTATTTTGTCTATTACTTTTTAGCGCATTTTTGTTACGGGGTCTATCTCAAAATCGAAACTAGTTGTGAATGTGAAATTTTGATATAATTATGTTGGCCCATATTCTGAATGTAAACAGTAAATACTGAAAACGCCGATACACATTGTACTTTGTAAGTTGTGATTAAAACAAACAAAGGATTTTTGCGTTTGCGGTTTGTTGTACGGAACACATCGTGCGCGAGTACGACTCGCACTGTGCCGGTTTTTAAGTATTCAAAAAATAAAATTTGTAAATGATCACAAAAAAGTACAATAGGTTAGGTTACCATTTTTATTTTTGAAATTATTTAGGTATTTTTATTTTTTTGGTGGTCGTATAATTTTTTTGGTGATCAGTTAAACATAAGCCTTTAAAATATAAATATTAGTAATACCTTGCGTGACCGCTTACTTTATCTTGCCACATAGATAAATGATTAGTCTCGCTTTAGAGACCAATCATTTATCTATGTCTTTCCATTATAAAATACTACTTCATATCAGAAGTTCGACCAACTATCAAAAGATCCAGTGTACTAGTTGTAAATGTTTTTCAGGTTAAGTCGGGCTACTATTGCGAATTCTGCAATCGTCTTTTAGCCACTGTGGCCAAAGTTGTTCTTCACATATCAGATCCGCAACACCGTCACAGTAGGGGTTTGCAGCTCCTGAAACGGAAATTTGGCGGAGTCCTAGCATTTGGGAACATCTTGATTAATGAAAAAGCATGGAATGGCATTATTGATAAAACTTGTTCATTGTGTAATACTGAATTTGAGGATGAAAATATCCATAAAAGTAGTGGGTCTCATGCTCTTAATTTAATCAAGATTAATGTCGAGTTTCAGAAGACGTCAATTTATCGTAAAGTAAGTATGTAAGAATAGTAAGCACTTGTGAATGCTAAAAATATTAGTTTAATCCTTAGTTAGGGAAGCTACTACCCAGGCTATAAATGTTTAACATAATTTCTAGGACTGGAGTTTAAATAAGACACCTTGACAAACATATTTTTTTCTTTTACGATTGTTTAAAAGATTTTTTTATATTAACTTCAGAAACCATCGAGTAATACGAAATAATTTCATTGTTTTCCATGTTATCCATATCTAGATACAAAAATTTAACCATAACAACAGATTGATAAGGATAAGTCATCGCATTAGATCCATTCGGCACCTGATCCGCACCGCCTCACTTCGCGCGTTAAGTACTATTTGTTATTTTTCTAACCACTCAACCACGGTAATATTATATACAGTATTCTATCTTCATACAAACGGTCGGAAAGCGAATCATACCTACGCCACTCGAGTTCGCGGGACTCTCGGGGGACACCCAGTCGCGAATGCGCCGCAGCGACGACCGAACGGTGTGAATAGGGATGATGCCTATTTTTTTTCTTCGTTTATCAGGTAGATTATCAAAAAGTATTGGACACGTATTTTTTTCTTTTTTCACATAATATAAACATTGCAGAGATATATTGATTTGAAAAGTCGCATGACGTCACGTTTGAGTACACTTATATGTGAAAATTCACTCAAAAGTGACGTCACGAGCCCCTACTCCCAAACTTTGACGCGCTGTAACTTTGTCATTTTTTGGTTGTTTGCCCAAAGAAAAAATACGTGTCCATTATTTTTTGATCATCTAACTGACGGACTAAATAGAATTTAGTTTACTGTACCCCGTCATAACCCCTATTGTTTTTTATGCAGTTAGCCGTGCTTAAACGTGCGATTTGTATTGTAAATATTTGATTGAATTAAGTAGATACCTACATAATTTAATATGACAAAGAACAAACGACGATATTGTGCTGTTTTTGGTTGTTTGAACTCTTCAATAACGCACCCAGAGATATCATTTTTTAAATTACCTGAAATATTGGAAAGGTAAGACTATAGAATATTTTTTATATACCTATCTACTAGTACGTAATTTGTTTTTAATATTTAGGTATTTCGATTTTTCCATCGCTCAAAATCATAAGACATCAAGAGTAAGATCACATCTCAAGAGTGACGCGTCGCACGCGCTTGCGTACGGTCGTGGATAACGATAAAGTTGATGTTATAGCAAAATGTCTAAAACAGTGAAGTGTGTAACATAGTAATAAATGAAGTGCTTGCCTTCATTTGTAATAAAATTAATATTATGGATGAGGAAAGCATCAGCCGCATCTGTGCTACTGCGTTTTCTGAATGTGATATTGTGACTGCAAAACGGCTACTGTACGAGTCCTTGTCAAAGCTAATGAAGAACAGAAAACGGGATGGGAAGACTTTACGTGATATTGAGGATATCCTCTGTACTCTAAAGGAAACGGATCCTGAAGAGCTACCCATTTTCGTTGCGCGAGAGCTGCAAAAGTTACCACCGGTTCTATTCGATCACGTCGATGTAACCCAGATTCTTAAGGATTTATTGAGAATGCGTGAGGAGATCAATAAAATTTCTCGAAGCTATGTGAGTACAGAACAATTGGAGCAACTGAAACACGATATGGACAACTTTAAAAAGGCATCTAATATATTTAATATATATTCCGACACTCCCACCAATTAGCCTAGCCCCAAAGTAAGCACTATAAGGCTTGTGTTATGGGATGCTAGGGTAACGGATAGAATACATATACTGTACATATATAAGTATATTTATATAAATACATATTAAACATCCATGACTGGAGTACAAATGCTCGTATTCATCACACAAACATCTGCCCCCACCGGGATTCGAACCCGGGACCTCTCGAGTCGGCGACAGCCATGAAACCCGGCGTACAAACCACTCGGCCACGGAGGTCGTCAAACTTCACGTAATGTGAATAACTTCTCTAAAAATATAAATCCTAAGAGAGGCGCCTTTCTATTAGATAGTTTCGAATGCAACAGCGGCCCTAGTGCGATGCATCCGATTAGCAATGAAAAAGGTTTACATTTAAGTAACTGTTCATCACTTTCACCAAATTCAAAAATCCATTATCGTCAACGGAGGGAGGTAGAAATGAAAATAATTCAACACCCGTACAGCTGCTTAGCGCAGCGCCGCCATTGAATGGTGCCGAATCAGCTGAGAGCAGAGTAGTTGAATTTGTAAACAACCCGGTGCCGGCGAGAGGCCTTATGACTCATGCGTCGACAGTACCTGCGACTGCATTACCGACGGCCGGGCCCTGCTATAATGACCACAAACGTATCAATAATAGAAAATCGTATTCTCAAGTTTTAGAACAAGGTGAATGGGAACAAGAAATAAATAAGAAAGAGTGGCTCTTGGTACAAAAGAAGAGATTGAAAAACAGATTTATTGGTAATAAAGGTAAGGCAGTTGTGGATTTCAATATCAACTTTAAAGCGGCAGATGTTCGGATCCCGTTGTATATTTACAACATTTCGAAGGATGTAACAGAGACGGATATTCGTCCGTTTTTATGCATGACGAATTTTGGCCGGAAGATGTTGCATTTAGATGTTTTGTAGACTTCAAAAGAAGATACCGGAGTGATAAGGTGCCAAATAAATCTAATCAACAATAATGGCTGCTGCAACTAAGATCATTTCTTTTAACTGTAAAAATTTACACCGTTCGATTGACTGCTTGAGAGGTCTGTGCCGGACAGCTGACATTATTGCTCTACAAGAAACGTGGCTTTTACCTCATGATCTGCCATACCTGGGGACCATAGATGACGACTTCGCTTTTACTGGAAAATCTGCGGTAGATACATCTAAAGATATACTCAGAGGGAGGCCGTTTGGCGGAGTTGCACTACTGTGGAGGAAGTCCGTGTTCCCGGGTGTGTCAGTAGTGGAATGTCATAGTGTGCGGTTGACAGCTATTAAAGTTTTTCTCGATAGTGGTAAGTCGCTGTTAGTGATTTCTGTGTATATGCCTACAGACACAGCGTTGAATCTTACGGAATTCACAGAGTGTACGGGTGAAATAAGTGCTTTGGTTGAGACGAACAACATCGAGTCAGTATTCGTACTCGGGGACTTCAATGCGCATCCCGGTGAGCAATTTTCACATGAACTTTTAAACTTTTGCTCTGAACAGTCGTGGTCGTGTGTTGACATGGAAATTTTGCCTAGTGATACCTATACGTATATTAGCGATGCACACGGTTCTCGCCGATGGCTTGACCATTGTTTGGTTACTGATGCCGTGCGACACATTGTACACAATGCTTCGGTTTTATGTAATAATGTTTATTGGTCTGACCATTATCCTTTGTTAATTGAGTGCAATTTAAATAAAGTCAAGTCAAAACTTGTAGCCTCAACTCCGTATTGTAATAAAGTTCGTTAAGGGGAAAGAGATAATTATCAAATACAAATATATAGTGATGCATGCAATAGCAAATTACGTTTATTAGACTTTCCTGCTGATTTTTGTAAATGTGCAGATAAAGTGTTCAGATGTCAACCACAGAGTAAAATTAAACAGATTTGTACCGTAACATTATATGTATCCTAAAAGTGTCCGCTACAAGTAGCTATATTGTAAAGAAAAATAAAAAACATAAATACATAACTGGTTGGAATAAATAAGTGAGTGCCGCTCATAGGGAAGGCTCGGTTTTGGTACCAGTCTTGGGTACAATATGGAAAACCTAATTTTGGTTCTTTTTACGATAACATGAAAGCCACTAAAAATACTTCAAAGCTAAATTAAAATATTGCCAAAAGCATCAGAATCAAATTAAATTAGATATTATCGCACAGAATCACACTGATAAAAAATTCGTAAAATTTTGGAATAATATCAAAAAACTGCATCCAAAGCAGAGTCTTCCTGTGAGTGTAGATGGTATTTATGAACCGACTGATATAGCGAATGCCTTCCGAAAGCATTTTAAAGTAGATTCTCCCCTTTTGGGGGACTCGCATGAGTTCGGTGCTGGGTGTCGTCCTGTCGGGAACTTAACCGTTAGATTTTCTGCGCGAGAGGTCGCCTCTACAATCAAGGCAATGGTTAGAGGTAAGTCTCCCGGTCACGATGATCTCAGCATCGAGCACCTGAAGTACGCAGGGGTGCACTTGCCTAGAGTTCTTTCGATGTTTTTTTAACCTTAGTATGAGTCACTGTTACCTACCCGAAGATTTGATGTACACACTTGTAGTGCCCATTATAAAAAACAAAACGGGAGATGCTTCCAACGTGTCCAATTACAGACCTATATCTTTAGCGACGGTTATAGCCAAGGTGCTGGATAGTCTGCTGGATAAAAGACTAGGTGAGCACATTAGGAGTCACGATGCTCAGTTTGGTTTTAAGCCGGGTCTGTCCACAGAGAGTGCCATCTCTTGTCTCAAACAGACTACTACACAGCTAGAAAAACCCCAGTCTATGCTTGTTTTTTGGACTTGTCGAAAGCGTTCGACCTAGTATCGTACAATCTATTGTGGAAAAAACTGTATTGTGATACTAAGCTGCCTCCTGAAGTTATATCCATTTTTAAATATTGGTATGACAATCAGAGCAACTGTGTGAAGTGGGCTAGTTCGCAGTCGGACAGGTACAGGTTACAATGCGGGGTGAGACAGGGGGGGTTAAGCTCGCCCAAACTTTTCAACCTGTACATGAACAGTCTAATCGAGGAGCTCAGCAGTACCTATATTGGATGCTACGTCGGTGGTGTTTGTATTAATAATATTAGTTACGCTGATGATATGGTGCTGCTGAGCCCATCGATTGGTGCATTGAGGAAGCTGCTTCATATGTGTGAAAAATATGCAGAGGTTCATGGACTCAAATACAACTGTCTTAAAAGTGAGTTCATGGTATCTCCAGCTGGGACGGCAGGGTGTCAGCGCAGTGTACCTTCCGTTACACTCGAGGGCACTGAACTTAAAAAAGTTGACAAATTCAAGTATTTGGGCCATTGGGTCACTGACAACTTGTCGGACTCAGTAGATATGGAGAGGGAACGTAGGGCGCTGTGTGTCCGCTGTAACATGTTGGCCCGCAGATTTGCACAGTGTAGTAAACGAGTCAAACTGACGCTTTTCAAAGCTTATTGTGAGTCGTTCTACACGTGCGGTCTTTGGGTGAACTTTACGCAGCGGACATACAGCGCAATGCGAGTCCAATATAATAACACGTTCAGGATGTTGTTCGGTCTGCCGCGTTATTGCAGTGCGTCGTCTATGTTTGCCGAGGCGCGTATTGATTGCTTTTACACGATCATTAGAAAGCGCTGCGCCTCGCTGTGGGCGCGCGTGCGCGACAGCTCCAACAGTGTCCTGAGTAGCGGTGGGCGTTTAAACGAAAAGCGCTTAAATAAGGGCGCTTAAAATATTAAGCTTGTAAGCACGCTTTTAAGTATAAGCGTTATAAGCTTTTCACTTAAAAAGTGTGAGTAAGCTTTTCACTTAAAAAAGTGCAAGTATATTTTTTACTTAAAAAGTGCAAATCCCGCCATCTATGTCTTTGCCAGGAAACTACATACTTCGATCCTTCTAGTCCACTACAGTATCGAAAAATGGGTACGCGGAATTCCTTGGAACTAAATATTTCACAATATCACAGCCATAGAACGCGCGACTACAGCGCCGCGTCGGCGGCCATCTTTCGTGAGCCGGTTAATACAGCATGCGAATTATTATAATGCGACGTAAAAAAATGCACTTTTTTAAAATTTGGTCGGATAACCAACGCTTTTTTCGTTAAAAGCGTTTAATTAAACGAAGTCGAAAAGCAGTACGCTTGTCACTGTGACGTGTGACTGTGACGGGGGGTTTGCATGCTTGCTTGTGTAAATGCGTTTCGTGTATTGGTTTAATGTGCATATAAAATAGTTAAAAGTATTTATATAAAATCAATGAACTTTTAAGTACGCCTGGATCACGAATACTTATATTAACTCCAGACAGTCCTAAGCTTGTAAAGTTCATTGACTATTGTAAAAATGTTTATTATAAAATCTAAATTCAATCGAAAATCTTTCGTTTTTAATGCCAATCAATTCATTAGGTTTAAAAAAACTTTTAATAAAAATTTCATTAATAAGAAGAAAAAACGCAATAAACATATTAAAAACGACAATAAACTTTTCACGCTTTTTTAAACGATATACCTAAACGAAAACACAAGGTCGCTCTTGTTACGCATGCTTTTAAACGTTTAAGCCAATAAGCGTTTAAACGAAAAAGCTTTTTTTCAAGCGCGCTTATTTTAAAAAGTACAACGTTTAAACGCTTTTAAGAAATAAGCTGTTTTTTCCATCTCTAGTCCTGAGCGCACTGGCTGACCGATGGGACTCCCCACTATTGCGACACTGGTTAAGCTACATTCGCCAGTCTATCATTATAATTATTTATAAATAACAGACGAGTCCCATCGGAATCCGAATGTATTATATAGTTATTTGTGTTCGATTGTACTTTTTTCATTTACTAACACTAGAATAAGATTTCGTCTGTTACTAACACTTTTATATGGATTTAAAGTCTGAAATAAATGTTTATTATTATTATTATTAAAATAACTGGAATAATATATAAATAAGTGGATAGGGTGAAAAAAGAGACAAACTAGTACCTAATCTACCTACGCTCGCGTTAAAAACAAAACTACATAATAGGTAGGTAGTTTCCTAGACTAGGCTATCTACTTACTTAATTACATACATTATTCAATAACTAAACTACATACATTATTGAATTAGATGAAATATCATTATGAAATAATTTACGAGAGTAATAAATGGTAGGTATTGTAGTGATCGGATGTTTTTGGTGTATACTGGCAGGTTATGAGGTAATTTGGAAAAGAGATGAATTATAAACAGGAATTGATAGCTGATATAATCTTTTATATTACTAATATTCTTTTATTGAATTATGTAAGAATAAAAATCAGCAGTTGGGTTTTTTACAAGCTTTTAATTAGCTTGCAATGTAGGTATGTAGGTATGTGACTATGTTTGTTCGGGTCGAATCTTGCAACTTAATTGTGAAGCAAATATCTTCAACCGGTTGAGCTGAAATTTTGTATATACACGTTTTGATTAAAAAGCACGGTTAGCTGTGTGACGTCATTCTAAATCCAATATGGCGGAATAGTTATTTTAATGCATTCCTACGATATGGGTATCAAATTAAAGGACTTGCGGAGAATAGCTCGAAATATAAAGTGACGTCACTCTAAATCCAACATGGCGGAACACCCAAGATAGCGGACTAGTTATTTTCATTGCACTCATACAATATGGGTATCAAATGAAAGGAGATAACGAATGCGAGTTAAGCTCCTTTGCATCATTAAATTTGTATGAAATAAAAATAAAAATTAAATGCTCTAAGAAGAATAAAATAAACTTTTGAGTTTTACTATCAACTTATAACGTCAACATAAAATATTTACGATCACAAAACTAGAAAGAAACTCAATTATGTAGATGTAATTAAAATACTGTAGGCGGGCAGCCCTACCACGTGGATACGCCACGCTCGGCCGTAGGCAGTTATTTCAAGGACAGGGCCTAGTCACAATACTGTATAGATAATACATATTACCGTGACCAAACCAAGCGCTTACTTCATCAACTGCGATTGCCTCGCACGAAAGCTGACCATGCACGAGTGACGGGTGGGCCACGCTGTAATACCCCGTTTATTTATATTTAGCCCATTGGCACATAAAATGGGTAATGCCAGCTTGAAAACCGGTGCCTTCCGTTGTCGTTGCTAGGTTGATGTCGACGCTGGCATTGTCCATCTATCCACCTGGCTGTTTTGTATGGACATCTAAATTTAGCGCAGTGCAAGCGCGTCTGTCGCTGTCCAGCTCACTTTCATCACCTCTTTCGCATCTTCATAGTCATCAGTTGAATTTGAAAGCAATACGATACGATAATGTAAACACACATTGAACTTGATATTGCTACTATTATATAGTATTTTGCCGAGTACCTATTCTTAACCAACTCGAATGGTTCAGCAGTGTCTGAATGTAAATGGGGTATAACAAACAACTCACTCATGCTTGTCCGCTAGAAGGTGCCTGAAGGGCCGAGTGACTTTTTGAGATGACCTGGATGTCTAGTTAATCCGATTTCCAACAGAGTGCAATTGGGAATAAATAAATCGAAAATTGATACAGAATATGCGTCTAGTATACTTACGATATACGATAGAAGTTAAGAATTTAAATATATTGTTGTTGCTTTAAATTAAAAAGTGAATTGAACATAGTTCAATTAAACGGCTTATTCCAGAATGTCAATATTATCTGTATTATCAAAGTTTAATTGATTGTATTTATTTTAAAAATATTTTAAGTAAGTACTTAACATATTCGCAATAAAATAATTTATTGAAATTTTCAGATTGACGAAGAGAGTTTTCACTGCCTCACATGTAACGAAGTTGTTGCCATTAAATCATTCACCGAACATTTTGAAAGTTTAAACCATAACAAAAAACACCGGGAATGCAACGATTTTGGCACTAAACTCGCTAGCAAATTAGAATCAGTTCAAGTAAAACAAGAATCAAAAGATGCTAAAAAAGTAATACCACTAACGGAAACTAAAGCTAATTTCACAATTGATGAGACGCCGAAGAACCGCAAAGAATTAGATGCTTTTATTCTTGACTCTTTGGGTATAAAGGATTATATGAAGGAACTTCACGATGGTCAAAATTACTGTTTGGTGTGTGAAGGAATAATCCAACGCAGCGAAATAAACAATCATTGTAATAGTGGCCATCATTTGACAATTCTCAAAATGCACAAGGATAAATTAGAGAAAAAGTGTAAAGCTGAAAATGATCAAACAAAAAACATGCCAAGTGATTATTTGAAAAGTCCTGAAATTGAAATTAACAGAAACAAGATCCTGGATTCACTGCCAGAATTCCAGAGAAATGATGTTAATATTGACTATGTAAACGATACAATTGTGTGCAAGAAGTGCTCAAAAGATTTAGACTTTGACTATGACGTTATAAAAAATCACATTGAAGGACACAATATAGAAACAAACAAAAAAGTAGCTAAAGAAATTCCAGTTTGCGCCCAGAAAGGCGCAAATAACGTTAAAAAATCACAACCTGTGTTGGTGAAAGACAATAAATCTGATCAAACCCAAACATCTGGAAAGAGTTCTCTTTCCTTCAAAGATGATGAAGAAATAGAAGTATTTGCCAATAACAACAATATGCAATACAACAATCTCAAAGTCTACTGCAATTGCTGCCAAACTCATTTACCGGCGTCGATAAAAAACCTTAAGCAACATGTAGATGGTGCAAATCATAAATATAAACAAGCAAGTATTGATAAAGTGGTTAAGATGAAGAAACGTGATTTAAAAAAAGTGCCATTGTTTTTATTTACCACATCTATCGTAGACCTAGTCAGCAATGTTTTTGAAGACGTTGTTTTAAACAAGAAATTATGTGTAAATAAAATGAGTTATTTCTTCTTAATGCCCATAGGCGATAATCATGTAAAATGCGTATGTTGTGGCGGCGTACGTCTGCCCCTCGATGATATTACGCCAAATCACTTGCTCACCTCAAGTCATGCCAAAGCCTTTTCTGAAAGTTTGGTGGTTGAAATTGACTCGGAATTTATAAGAGAGGTTAGTGTTAATGAGCAAAATTTTAAATTTTAGCTTGGGGGTATAAAAAAATCCTTTATTACGTAAGACTATTTTCGCCAGTTTTTGACCCCCTCCCTATTATAAAAAAAATAAGAATACCCCTCCCCTGCCTGTTTAATATTTATTACGTTAGAATCTTATAGGCAAAAATGAATAAAGTTTGGTTTGTTTTAATGTTTATTTTTTAAAGTATTTTTTTTGCATAAGGCGCGGTGCTGTTGGCGCATGTCCGTTGCCGTGGAAATCGTTTGCCTATACGCATCCGAGCGAACTTCAGCATTCGCGCGGTCGCGCTTTTCAAAGTATAATTTTAACTTTGCGCATTTTTGTGACCTTACGTAGAAAAAATAAGACATGGTCGACCCCCTCCCCCCCTAAATCGTCTTACGTAATAAACTAATGGCCCCTACCTAACACTTTAAAGAAAAAAAAAAAGTTATAATTAAACAGGTACAGCGGAGCCCAATTAATGAACTGGTACCCAGTAGATGAACGAATTTAATAATTTCTTACATTGTTAGAATAACGGGTCAGCCCCTCTAGCATGACCACAGGAACGGGATATGATAAAGCGATTTATCGGCATTAACTGTCAGACTATAATGGAGTTTGATAGTAGTCTGACAGTATATGCCGATATATCGCTTTATCATATCCCGTTTTGGTGGGCATGCTAGAGGGGCAGGTACGGTTCTATAAACTGATAACTAAATCTGGCAATACCTACTTAGTATATCCTTAACATGCTTTCTATAGAATGATAAAAAAAGGTCTTGTCTTTGTCAAAGGAGATTGCTCAGCTTCCATACATGTTTGGCCTAAAGACCAATAATCATGAAAAATTGTTTCCTAGATTCGAAATTCTATATAAATTACTGTAGAAACGAATATTATTGACGGACACCCCTGAGAACTTCTATAAACCATAAACACTGAACATATTAAAATAATAAAAAACAAATAAGTTATAAAGTAAACTAAGGAAATAAAGCTAAGTACCGAAATTATGGATTAGATTCAGGTATATAGAGCATGTAGATTAACAGATAATTGCCTGTTTTTAAAGTTAATGCGTAAGAGTAACTTTTAAAATCACGTATCATCTATTTCCGGTCATAATAAGGTACCCTTTTACAGAAAATGTGTGTTATTTGTGAATGAGCCACAGATTAGAGAGAATTTTTAAACTCTCGTTAATTAAAGAAAGCAAGTATTATTTATTAAGTATTATTTTTGTTATGTTTATATTATAACCATATTTTAGATTTTAGTGTATCACACCTTATAATGTGTTCATGGAGGTGTTTGGCGAAAAATGTATGGCAATAGACTTTATGATGTCGCCTACCATCTATAATATTTTTCTTAGCACATTTGCATGTAGTAAAAATGATAATATAGTTGTGGATATTAATACCACAATCTAATAAAAAAAAAAAAACGATCTTTACATAATAGATTTGTTATGACGTTATATAAACAGCTTCGATCACTCTTTGGCTGAATGTTACTACACCCATAGCCATTAAAAATGATTCGTATGTTTTCCAAACCGGTAAATATATAAGTCCTTTTTAACAAAGGTGTCCGTTAAAATCTAATAACTGTAAAATAAAGTATAAATTACCGTATATGTCAATATTTTTTGTACATTTGGGCCAATTTGAGCAATCTCCTTTAGTTAATTATAAGGTTCGTTCGCGCCAATTAATTTGGAATATCACTCGGTTTTCTGTAAGTTTGATTGTGGATGTTGGACGTTATTTATATGTCTCGATATCTACTTAAAATTTTAGCTGATGTGTTATTTGTAATGGTATTCATTCCCCTGGGTGCAGGGATACATTTTCGCTGCGCCGTAGAAAGAGAGTGGGATACTTCCTCTCCTACGCCGCGCGGGCTGTCTACTCTCCATCCGTCTTACGAATTTTCGATCAGGTCACGTGTCCTGACGCGAGTTAAACATTTTTTACCCATTACAAAAAAAAAGTGTACAACGCCGCTAAAGTTTTCGTCTTACGAATTTTCGATCAGGTCACGTGTCAAAAAAGTGTACAAGGCCGCTAAAGATGTTTTCACTTCAAAAAAAAAACACTGGGAAATTGAATATGGCTATTATTATTGGCGCTTTCAGGTTCCTAAAGGAGTATACCATTGTGGCTACTGCAACATGGTGGAATCAAGCTGGGAACGCATGGAACAACATTTGGATACCGTTCAACATAAGGAGCACAAGGGCGTTGCTCAATATCGATTGCAATCAAATATACCAGCCGTAAACAAACATGAAAACCGGGAGCAAATGGAATTTTTCGATTTCCTGAAAATGATACACAGATGCAATTCGATGTCCTAAAAATAAACTAATATTGTAACTATATATACAGAGGATGATACATCCTCAGAAATTACAAATTTAATTGCAGATATTGTTATTTAAGTTTAACTTTGTACTTTTTTTACGTAAAACAAAAGGTCTGCGACTTTTAGATCCCATGAAACAAAAACTAATTATATTGTCTCTACCTATACCGAGAATTATATCCTCACAAATTACAAATTTAATTGAAGTTATTGTTAAGTTTTACTTCATTAATTTTTTCGTAAAACAAAAAGTCTGTGACTAAGAATCTATAAAACAAAAATTTATTATGTTATCTCGTTACAATGTTAGTTTAAGCTATTGTTAGTTAAGTTTTACAGTTTGTGTTTTTTTTCCGTAATACAAAAGGTCCGCGACTGTAAGCACCTGTACAAAAGTGTTATTTAATTAATAAAAGTCTTCGGAATCGATTTCAAAATTAACTTTTATAAAAAAATCGTGAAAAGCATTCTGTATTACAATATGCAAAGCTTTTTTTATAACGGGAAATACCAGTCTGCCTTTTGTATGCAATTTGTTGCTTTTGTTATGATTAATTTATTCATTAGTTTTTGTATTTCATTTCATTAAAATCGCTATTTATATTTACGTTTTGCGATACTGCTTGTACTCACATTAAAACATTAAGTTATTAAATTTTAGGTGATTTCTTATTATAATTTTAATTTTAAAAATATTTCACTAGGCAAACGTGTCATTAAGTTCTTTTTCTTTCAATTTTTATAATATTGTTTTGTTTTTGCTTTATGTTAGGTCTATCAGGCTCGTTGTGTGCTTGATTTATTATCCTTACAGTAAAGTCGTCGCGACTTCATTCCGAATTTTCAGTGATTCCTAATATGTTCTTTAGACGCTCTCTCGTTCTCGTAGCCAATTACTTTTCCTTTAAAAGCTTTCTTCGCAAGTTTTGAGCGCTTCTGCTTTGGAATATGTGCATAGCAGGTCCTACCTATGATTCGCAAATGCGTGATCTTTAGCTCTTTGCCGTGCCATAGCTCATAGGAAAGTATATCTTGTTTTTTTGTGGGTCCGGTTCTCTGCCCAGAGCATATGTGTTATTTCACCTTTTGCGTGCATCATGAATCTTGCAGCTTCACGTAGAGTCCTATTTTCACGCTCGATACAGCCGTTCTGTTCATGCGTATATGACACGGTTAGTCTGCTGTATACCGTAGCTCTCAAGTACATATTTTCTTTCCTTCCCTATTATAGAACTCCTCACCGTTATCACTCAGTAACGTCTTGATAAGGTGTCCGGCAGCCTTTGCTTCTTTGAGCATCTGGGTAACCTTCTCCTTGACCTCAGACTTGTGGCGTATAAAGTAAACATGAAACAAAAACTAATTACATTGTCTCTATCTATACCGAAAATGATATCCTAACAAATTACAAATTTAATTGAAGCTATTGTTAAGTTTCACTTTATTTATTTTTTCGTTAAACAAAAAGTCTGTGAGTTAGAACCTATAAACCAAAAAAATGTTATGTTATCTCGTTACAATGATAGTTTAAGCTAAGTTATTGTTAGTTAAATTTTACTTGTATTTTTTTTACTTAATACATAAGGTTTGCGACTGTAAGAACCCGTGCAAAAGTGTTATTTAATTAATAAAAGTCGTCGGAATCGATTTTAATATTAACTTTTATAAAAAAAACCTGAAAAGCATTCCGTATTACATAGGCAAAGCTTTTTTTATAAAGGGAAATGCCAGTCGGCCTTTTGTATGCAATTTGTTGCTTTTGTTATTATTAGTTAATTGATAAGTTTTTGTGTTTCATATCATTAAAATTGCTATTTTTTATTTATGTTTTGCGATATTGCTTGTACTCACATTAGAACATTTTTTATTATATGTTATTTAATCTTAGGTTATTATAAGAATATTTAATTAGGCAAACGTGTCGTTAAGTTCTTTTTCTTTATTTTTTATAATATTGTTATTTTTGATTTATGTTATGTCTAAGGCTTTTCCTATCAGGCTCGTTGTGTGCTTGAATGCCAAATAATAATAATGAACAGTATTGGAAGAAGAAAATTAAAAAAGAAATGTTCTTTCAAATTTAAAACTTCTTAAGTGTTTTTAAATAAGTAATTTGATTTATAATCCTTTCAGAGAAGTCGCGACATAATTCCTTAGATTAAAACAAAAAGGGTAGACACGGTACGCTCATACTTGCATCAAACTAAAACTGATCCCACGGCAGCGCGAACGGGACGGCGAGATCCGCGTCACTGCATTACCGACCGGAACGAAACAGCACGTTAAGTGTCGACGGCAGCGAGACGGCGAGATCCGCGTCACTGCACTACCGACCAATCACGTGACCAGTACTCGACGTCACTACCGAATAAGATTCAAAACAAACAGCATTTATTATGAAAAAATATATTTTATAGTACTTACGAATGAAAAGTGATGCCGTGGGTTTTATTTTTAGTTCTTGAGCAATTTGAGCACTTTTTAAAAACACTTAGGCATTGTTTTATCATATAAACACAAAATATTATTAATATTGCGTTCACATGTACGTCGTTTGCATGTCAAGTTGGGACTAAAGCGATTAGGGTCGTGGACCACAATTTATGCGGATCACTTTTGTGAGGCTAGTGCCGTATCTACCCTTTTTGTTTTAATCTAAGCATAATTCCGATTTTCAGTGATTCCTATTCATATTTTTATTATAAGAATATTTTACTAGGCAAACGTTATGTTCTTTTTACCCGACTGCGCAATGCAAGAGCGCGAAGTGCGAGGTGCAGACAGGGTATAGTGTTTAACAGTATATATATATGTATGTTTGTTCCTTTGTGGCACACTAGTGACCATACGTATGGACCGATTTTGATGATTCATACATCAATCGATTCGTCTCAATCATGGGAGTGCTACTGAAGATATGATAGTAATTAAAATTCAATATGGACAAAATTAGGCGCCATATTGTGACGAAGTAAAAAAAATAAGTTGACAAAATATGTCGAGTGAGGTGTAGAGATAATCGAAAATCATGTGTAGGTTCTTAACACCATTTTTCATTTTATATGATTGTTTAGGATCTACAACGCTTTAAAGTTGTATATTACCACTTGCACTTTTAATTTCAACCTTACGTTTGTATGGATCGTTGTTACTCTTTCACCTAAAAAATACTGAATGGATTTTAATGAAACTTAACAGTAATATAGATCATATATGATAATAATATATATAATAATTTATGTAGTTTTTGAGTGAATTTGCCAAAATATAACAATAAGTGTCACATAAGACAGAAATAATCTCTCATCTACTAGCCATTTTGGCCTGCACTGCACAACACACAACACAACTCAAAGAAGGCAAGAAGTGTAGTTTTTGATGGGTTTGTAAGTTTATCTGCGAGATTTTGCTGATTTTAATATACTCTGGCCATTTTCTAGATGGAGTTAAACGAATTCGCGTTAATATTAATTCATATAAAAACTTCGGCACCCTCCAATCCACCCTTTAGGGGTTGCAAACCCAAAAACGGCAAACTTTATTATTTATTTAGAGAAGTATTCGTACCAAGTTTAATTCTATAACTCAAAGTATCAGATTTTTCAAACAAACTTACATCCTCTTTTTAACTCTCTTAGTAGATAGATTTTCGAAATAGATGGCACGGCAGGCCGATGGCCTTTAAAAATAATAAAAATTATAACAGTAATATTTTTATCAATATTTTTCCACTTATTCCGCAAAATCTCTAAGGCCTAGTAATGCCTTGCTTGTTTATTTTTATATAATGGGTTAGACACATCCCAAAGGCATGGCAAATCTTTACATATATCTAAAATCTCCTCCCATTACTTCCCGTTCAGATCGAATAGACATAATATTGTCGTCATGTTGCTCCATCTTTTTATCAAAAGACAAGTCAACGCACACACCCGCTCTGAACGCCGCTTGCACAGTGACTACGTTAAAAAATTGGCCAGTTAGCGTCCACACCACCCAATTTGATTGGGCAATCCCGAATCTGGCGATACAGACCATCCAATGACCTTCAATTTCATATTTCCGTCCACACAACACAATTCGATTGACAATCTAATCAAATTGGACTTAAAATTGTATCGTGTGGACGCCACTTTACCCTTTCGGAGTGAATTTAGAAAAATACTTTTTTAGTGCACCCCTAGACCTCATAAGGCAAAGGCATAAGGTTACGTGCCAAATGTGGAGTATCGATTTGGGCGGTGCGTTGATATGCCAGTCAGTTTCTTCTTTAATATATTTAGAAGATTTATATGATATGATGTTCTTCATATGATGAAGAAACACGGGAAGTCCAAGAAATGTTTGTCGGATTCATTGAGCTAAAAGATTTGGATGCCAAATCGATTGCACAGAGCATAGATGAGTTTTTCACAAAAGAGGATCTGAATATAAATACCTAGTCAGGTCATAAATTCTGTCACATGTTTAATATAAAATAATTGAAACAAGTTTATTCATTATGTAACCATTTGTATACCAAAATAAACTTAACAAAATAAGATTCTTATGACAATAAAGTTTGTTCAAAATGGCCTCCGTGATTTTGAATACAGGCCTTCAATCTGCGCGGCCAGTCGTCTATCGCAGCACGAACGAGGTCCATGTCAATATCGGGGGCTGCCTTAATCAAGGATGCCTTGAGTGACTCCAAATTGGGATGAGGCTTTGAGCACGCTTTTTCCTCCAAAAATGTTGGCATATCTTGTAATCTTACGGACTCAAACTGGACTGGAGGAGAGCCAGTCTTCGTGCCGGATGAAGTCGATTTCACGCGCCGCCAGCCAGTCTTGTGTGCTCTTCGCTCTATGAGCTGGCGCCGAATCTTGTTGGAATACCCAGTGCCTGTTATTGAACATGGTATGAGAAACAGGTTCCACAAGGTTCGTCAGGACTGTATTTTGATACACAACTGCATTAGTGTTTACACCTTTCTCACAAAAATGTACCTTTGTTAAGCCCCAATAAGAAACTCCCAACCATACCATGACCGAGGATGGAAAATGACCTCGTTGGACACGCGGAATACGGTTGCTCACTTTCTTCACTACTGTGTGCGTACACCTTATCATTTTGTTTGTTGTAGCTCTCTTCTACTGTTAAAAATTATTCATCCGGAAAAAGAATTTCTCTATATTTTTTTCCGCGTACCGCTTCAACGCGGCAAAAAGCGCGGCATCTCTTCAGTCTCAGGTCCATTAGATGGGCATTCAAACGATGTCCTGTTTTTCTTCGATATGCCCGAAGCCCTAAGTCTTCATTTAACACCCTTTTCACCGTGGTTCTGCTTAACCCCATCTGAAGGGCCAACAGTTTCTGCTTACGTTTTTGATTTCTTTGAATTCGAGCATGCACAGCTTTTATCGCTGCTGGAGTCCTAACAGACCGAGGGCGACCACTTCTAGACCTGTCATATACATCATACCTCGTTTACATACAGCGCGAGTAAGGAGGGAAGTGGGCATGACGAGTATCTAAACACGATACTCGTCATGCCGCTGCCATTGCCACTCGCGCTGCCCGGCGCTCCCCAAAAGAGCGGTTTTTTGTGCGGAAGTCAAAGGACCGGCAGCGCGAGTGGCAATGCGTGTTCACACTCTGCGCGTCGCTTAGTGCGCGCCACGCGCTTGGTGGAGAAGTACGTCAAATTGAATATGATTAATAATTAATATTTATTAGGCAGCAGACGGGACTCGAACCCGCACCCTTCGCAATCCGGGCGAATGCACTGACCAATTATGGTACTCACGGACCGCGTCGAAATTCCTCTAGCCATTCTTAAGCTGCAAGGCGGCGCCATCTCTTCGCAATAAAGGTTTACACAATGTCAAATGAATACTTTTACAAGTATTAAATATTTGAAAGAAGAAATAGTAATTATAGTTATAATTTTTATTTTTTTAAAGCATGTAACTGCTTGATGTTTAAATCTAAAGAAAATATAACTAGATTTTTTTTGCGAAGGGTGCGGGTTCGAGTCCCGTCTGCTGCCTGGTCCGCGTGGAATTTTTTCTTGTTATATTTTCTTTAGATTTAAACATAAAGCAGTTACATGCTTTAAAATAATAAAAATTGTAACTAATATTTATTAATTTATTTATATTAAAATTATTAATTATTTAAATTTCGAACATAATTATGGATTTGCAAAAAGACGCAGCTCGGCCGCTGTTATTACTTCGACGTCTGCCATTGCCGAAACTCTGAAGCGAAGTGAGAGTATGTAATGTAAACATACTTCTCTCAATCATGCCGCAGCAATATTTAGGGAATTATTGCCGGCAACGCGAGGGGCAGCGGCATGGGCATAGTCTAAACGAGGTATTAGAGCACGGAGTACCCCAACTAGAGTCCGCATCACGCAAATTTTGTTTGGAATCAAAATCGCCAAAGTCGGCGGCGTGCAGGGAGATCAGCCGCGTTGTGATTGGACACGTCAAGGTCAGATGATATACTCAGTGCAGCGAAGTGATGAGGGTAAGATCGATTTTAGAAAATATCGATATTTCCTATCGATAAATAAAGGACACCCGGCATTATGTGCCAAAGTTGTATACTTTTTTAATTTGTTTATCTGTGTTTCATAATTGGGTAATGTAGTCTGGCAATATTTGTCATCAGCAGCTAGCTGTCAATGTCAAATACGTAGGTTTGTCAATATAACCTCTATATGTAGCCGGGTCGTCCAGAGAAATAACGGATAAAAAGGCAATCACAGCAGAGAACATTCACAATCACAGTACGCGGGAGCGAATGATTTTTTTGTTTGTATTTTAGGATTGTCAAATTGACATTTGGTTTTTTATTTAGAAAAAGCAAAGGAATCATGGTTTTTACAGTCACTTGAGTAATATTTTCAAGTAAAATTCTGTCCCTTGAAGATTTAGGGTTTCCATATCAAAAAATATTAATCATGATATAACTTCTTTCCACGATTCACTAAAAATAAGGCAAAATTAGTTTTATGTAGCAAATAATTTTGGCTTCATTTTGAGACCAAATTCAACTGTATACAAGTTTAGCATTTTTTCTATGAAAAGTGCCGGATCTCCATTG